CATCTATGCCTTGGTTGTAGTTGCGGCAGTACAGAGAATAGGTCCTCAGGCCAGTGTGAACTTACAAACTGAGAAATAAAAAAGCCTCTAATGGATGTTTGTTTTTCATTCAGGTTTGACTCGGCATATTTCAGATTTTTGGTTAATTCATATTGCCATTTTATGTTCTTGTGACTTACAGCGACCCATAAGTGAGCAAAAAGAACTTCTTAATAAATGGAATGAAATGGGAACTGATGAGCCAGGTACATTATTTTAACTTTATGTGCATTTTTGCATGTTAATAAAACAATTACATATCTATCTCCATAATTAACAGTCAGAGATTATAGTAATGTCTATTTTAAAGGAAATTAATACTTGTCTTTTTTTCTCATAATGTATTTTCTTAACTGCAAGAAGGGACATAGCTAATTACTATATAAGAATGACAATTTCATGGTTTGCTAGTAAGTGATTCTTTTAGTACCAAACAGGACTTGAAGCAAACAACAAATCCAAAATATATGTGCTCTCCATTACTTTGTATAAGATAACTAGTGACCTTAAAGCATTTTTGTGATCTGAACTGCAGTTTCCTGGCACAGTAATTTACTGCACTAGGCAGAAGAAAGTAAAGGGATGGTGAATCTTTACTTCACAATCACTGGGAATCTGTTTTACGGTGCTATACTTTAAGTATGTTAAAAATAAGGTATGTTAAGTCTGTTAAAAGTATAATACAATGTTTTCCAAACTCTAAAATAAAATATCAGTGTTGATGACTGCACCAGTTTGTCTTTTAATAATTGTTTGATAAGAAGATAGCATTTTTATAAATAATTTAGAAATCTGATTGCTGTGCATGACATTGGGTAATAATTCTGTTATTTTGATGTGAATTTTTTAATATAACTGCCCATAAATATGTCATTGTCATGTACCGTGCATTACATTCAGAGGTGGGCAATTATTTTGGGTGGAGGGCCGCTTACTGAGTTTTGGCAAGCCATTGAAGTCCGCATGACAGGCAGCCAGGGGCAGATAAATATTAATTTTCTAAACTTTTTAGGGGCCCTGCAGGTCAGATGTAATGGCCTGGTGTGTTGCATCCAGCCCATGGGCCACATTTTGCCCACCCCTGCATTACATCATAATTGGAAAAAAGTAATATGTATAGTCAAACTTTATACAATTTTAATTTAAATTGTCATCTTGTTAATTTCAGATCTAAGTCTTTTCCGACCAGTATATGCACCTAAAGATTTTCTTGAGGTAAGCACTCATGCACCAACTAACCAGCTATTCATTGCATTCATTATCGCCAGTTAGGTGAAGTAAGAAGAATGAATGGCAAGTCTTCAACTGATTGAAACACTGTAATGGAGCTAGAGGCTTCTGTTACTTTAGGAGAGAAACTCACTCCCTAGAACTATCTGTGTGGCCTGCAGGTGCAAATAATTGCCTGTCCAGCTGGTCGAAGGCAGCTGAACTTTGGGTAGCTGCAGGAGAAGCCAGGGGTGGGCAATTATTTGGACCTGCGGGCTGCATAGGCAGTTCTGGGGGCTTAGTGGCAGTGGCAGCCAGAAGCAGCCACTAGTGACTGGGCTGCTCAAAAAGGCAGTTCAGCTGCACAGCCGCCCCAGCCCTGCTGTGTGCCCAGGGAGTGGTGGGACATGCTGTGGGCTGGACAGAGTCCCTCCGTGGGTTGGATCTGGGCTGCAGGATGTATCTTGCCCACCCCTGCTGTAAGCACTTACTGTGTGGCTAGCTGCCTAGCAATATGACAGTAGGGCAGAGCCCTAGGTAGGGAGGAGGGGAATAACTGCAGCTTAGCCTGAGAAACAGCAGTAAACTGCTCATTAAGTCAAGGGGATACACCTATGGCTGCTCAGGGAAACACCTGACTGACGGGAGTCATCCAGGGGATACAAGTCTGGATTCCTGAGGCAGAGGAAAGTACTACCCTGAACTCTGCCAGAAGAGCTCCTGGCAGCCTCAACCAGCAAGAAGCAGAAGTTGCAGGCCAGGTCAGATACTCCCAAGGGCTAAGAGAGCCAGTGAGTGGGGACAGGTCATTGGTAGCTGTATGGTGACCCCCAGGAGGGCTTTGAGTCTTTTAGTTTGAAATGATGGTTTTCATTTCTGTTTTAATTTTAAAATAGAGAACCAGGTTATGACTGTAGGGGAGGATTGGAGGCCATGCACCAGGGTACCTGGGATGCCCAGGGTTTGAAGCCCTGCAAAGGGTGAGGGAGAGCGTGAGTGGCACAGGGGCAGGCTAGAGCTGAGAGGTCCAGCGTCTGTGCTTGAAAAGCGGGAGACAAGAAGCAGGCTAGAACTGAGAGGGTCAGAGCCTGTGCCCTGAGAGCGAGAGATGGGGCAGGCTAGAGCTGAGAGGGCCAGAGCCTGTGCTCTGAGAGGCACAGCAGAGCAGAGGTTGAGACTCAGAAGCTGGACCAGAGGAAGTGGGCCTAGACTAGAAGTGTACAGCCGGAGCAACCAGTGGGCTAAGGCCAAGGGGGCTGAAGCCTGTATAGGTTGGGGAAGAGACATAAACGTGACTATGGGGGAGGTTGGAGGTCATGATTAAGAACTCTAAGGCTTAATTAGGTCCAGTAGAGCCACAGGGAGTGACCAGTGGCTGCAAGTAGTGCCAGCTGGAGACCATTGGTAGATCTGTTGGGGCACAGGAAACAACTGCAGAGAACTGTGGAGTTTTGATTAGTGGGCAGAGGGTATAGATGCCATGAGAGGTCAGTTTGGTTGGTTAGACACTGGAGAATGCTCAGGACTCGGGGGCAGCTTCCCAATCAATATCAAAACAGCATCAAGATGTGGCAGGAAAGATAAATTGGGTAAGTTATATAAACTACCAGGAGTGCAGGCAAGATTAGGGTGGCCCCTAGGTAGCACCGTGGCCACTGCAGGGCCCATCCCGACAAACACAAATTAAGGTTTTTTGAGAGAGGATAAAGCAAGAGTGTAGACCAGGAGTCAGCAACCTTTTACAAGCTTCAGGCCAGAACAGTCCAGCTCTGGATCAGTGTGGGCTTGGCTGGCATTGGTGTATCAGCA